CCCTTTCCCCTACACTGCTCTCCAAAAGGTGAGGGATCAGGAGGGTGGGAGGAAGGGCTCAGCCCAGGACAGGCACCTGGCTGGGCTGATGTTTGCCTCTGCAAACCTCACAGGAGTTCAGGGCCATTTTGAGAGAAGTGAGACACCCTCCCAGGAGGGTCTTTTCATTTTGAAAGTGAGGTGGCACTTTTATCACGGAACACAACCATTTGACAGGGCCACACATCTTACAACCCCCTTGTGCTTTGCAGAGGAAGAAACATCCCTTTTGCTCTTCTTAAAACTGAAGCGGCAAGACAGGATTGTCCTTCTTGGGCCAAGAGCTGAGATTAATATGCCCAGACCCTCCACCAGGCTGCACTGCCTGGCTGATTTAGCAGGAATCACATATTGGTATCTGCCTTTTAAATGAAGCAGCATCCCCCAGCATCAATGAAAACTGAGCCCCTTCTGAAAAGTGACACCCTGGACTGCCCTATGGCCTGATGGAGGCTGTCAAAGAGCCCTCCCCAAAGCCTAGTGATTAAGGATCCTCCTCACAGAGCTTGCCCTCCTTTCTGACAGCTCAGAGACCACAGGATGGTTCTTTCAACATCAACGCTGTGGTTAATCAGCGTTACAGCAAAGCACGTGGTTCCCACCTTAGAGCTACGCCTCTGCTCTCTCTGCAGATGCTGGCAGCACCACACCAAACCCCATGGGAAGTATTTGTTCACCATCAAACTGTGCCAGAGAATTAGGTTAAAAAGCCAAGGACTACGAGATGTCAGAGTCAAGAAGCCATCACATCCCCTAACAGCCCCTTGCTGTCCCATTCCTTATTCTGGTACTAACGTGAAGGTTGATATAAAGGGCACTGTAACATGTCGCGGGAATGCAAGTCCTCACTGGCCTCGCCTCCCTACTGAGACAGGGGAAGCTGGGAAGCTTTGGAGGACCAAAGGAGAGGAAAAGGAGAGGGATCAATTTGATAATCTGGCCACAGACTGGCTGTGAACCTCAGCAGACTGAGGGAGAATGAGCCCTTTGGGGACAGGCCAAGTTTGGTCTCAGATGTGAAACGCTGGCCTTTTAAGCCAAGTTGTTAGGAAGATAAGGTACCATTCCTCCTCACTCCTTTTGCTTTTTTTTTGACCATAAAAAGGTCTGTGAGGCGTGAATATTAAATCAAGATGACAGAGCGACTGGTAAGTGGCTGGGCACCACAGGGTTTGCTGCAATGGGCTTCACCAGCCCCAGTTTCCTTCCCCTCAGCATCTTTCAACACGTAAGGCACATCCTGAAATCCCCACAGCATGGTGCAACAGCAGCCTCCCCCCAGGAAATGCCTGCGGGATGTGACCCTGCTTGCTTTGGATGAGTCCACAGAGGGGAAAATAAATAAACAAAGAGAAGCAAGAGGCTGAAGTGTGAGCAGGCTCCACTTTGTGGGTTTTCCCACGTGCTGTCCCAGCAAACAAATGGGATGTGCTGTCAAAGTGACCTTCAGGGCTTGGGCAGCTCTGGCAGGGACAGGAGCTCCCCAGGGCATGCATAAAGCAAGGCACAGATCCTGCACGTCTCCCCTAACTCTCCTCCTCCCTTTTTATACTCTGTCCCCTTTAAGGCCAGGCAACCCGCACCAGCCTTTATGTAATTAACATTGATTACACATGGGCCCAGTGAGGGTCACCATGGCAACCCAATGATTAGCGATACCTGCTCGGCAATGAGCTAAGCTCTGTCATTTCCCAGTTTGGGACTGGGAGTGAGTCCAAGGTCCGTGTCCAGCGCCCTGCTCACCTGTGAGATGTAGCCCCGGGGCACATGGCCGCCTCCCTGGGATTTCGCAGCCTCCCGAAGGCTCTCGTTTTGGGCCCGGCAGGACTCCAGCTGCGCCCGCAGCGATTGGACCTGCGCCAGGGAGGGAAGAGAGATGCTCAGCCAGGGGTGGAAAAGTGCCATGACCCGACCAATATGCCGCATCTGAACCCCCGGGCTTAGGGATGGGGAGGACCATGCACAGCCAGCAGGGATGTCTGCTTCCCACAGGAACGGCAGCCTGCCAAGGGACCAGACCAGCAAAGCCAGCCCCAGCCTGGTAAGAGCGAGCAAGGAGGGGAGAAGACATCCCAACTTCCAAAGGTGGATCTGTGCTGGAGGAAACCACCACTGCACAGGTAGCTGGGATGACAGACAAGCACATGGCTCCTTTCAGAAGTCTCTGGTCTTGCAGTTGCAAAAGCTCCCAAGTACTCGAGGGGTGGCAAATAGAGCCAGAAAGAACGAACATCTCCCTGCACCTCGGCCTTGCTCTTCTGCAGAGCTTCCTCCTGCCAGGGACCACACTAAGGGGCCACCAGAATCCCAGTTTCAGAGAGAAGGGATGCTCTCACCTCCTTTTTCAGTGACTCATTGGTGTCTCCATGACCCCCCTTGC